AGGGTCCAGAGAAGGGCCACTCGCATGATCAGGGGGCAGCAGGGCAGGCCCTATGAGGAGAGGCTACGAGACCTGCACCTGTTCAGCCTCCACAAGAGAAGACTGAGAGGGGATCTGGTGGCTGTCTATAAACTGGCCAAGGGAGACCAGCAGGTAATGGGAGAGTCCCTGTTCCCCCGAGCACTACCAGGGGTAACAAGGAACAACGGCCATAAGTTGATGGAGAGTAGATTCAGGTTAGATATCAGGAGGCACTACTTCACAGTCAAGGCAGCTAGGATCTGGAACCAACTTCGAAGAGAAGTGGTGCTTGCTCCTACCCTGAGGGTCTTCAAAAGGAGGCTAGATAGACACTGCCGGGGTTGTTTGACCCCGGCATCCTTTACTACCCATGGCAGGGGGTCAGACTTGATTTGCTCAGGTCCCTTCCGACCCTACCTACTATGAAACTATAAGAAAAGGGGTATTCAATCTCAGCCCATGGGCCAGATCTTGCCCCCAGTACTGTGTCATCAGGCCCATGGGGCTCCTCATGAGCATGAAAATTTAGCTGCAGAAGAGCATTGGAACCATTCTCCAGCTGCCAAATTTCTGAAGCTATAAGGAGCCCCAGCCCAAGCATCTGTGTGCTACATGAGGTATGCAGGAGGCCAATCCCAGCACGTGGGCAGGGGGGCTGGTGCCAGACCAGAAGACCCGATCGTGGCATTCAGAGCTGAGCAGGGGGCATGTGGGGCCCAATCCTGGTACGTGGGGCTGGGTGGGAACAGTGCTAGGCCCCACGGCCTGATCCTGGTGTACAGGGCTGGGCAGGGGCAGTGTATAGCCCAGGGGTGGGCAATTATTTGGGCCCAAGGACCACATAGGGAGTTTTGATGAGCTCTTGTGGGCCTGGTTCCCTTCCCATGCCCCCTGTCTCCAACAACTCACAAAAACTCCTTGTGAGGCTTTGGGTTGGTGGGGAGCAGTGTTCGGGAGTGGGACAGGTGTGATCTGCTTCCTGCATGCCCTACCCTGTGTGGGGGAGGGGATGCAGGGGGTGTATGGGGGTGTGTGGAGTGGCTGTGTGGGAAGGCCTTGCCTGGAAGCCAGCTGGGGGTGCGGGGAGGTGGGGGACGCATGCAGCTGAGCTTGCCTGGCCAGTGGCTGTCCCTGCAGCACTCCATTTGTCCCGCCCAGGGTAGCCAGTGTCATGCTCCCACCCACACTTGCTAGCCCTGGCCCTAGCCCCAGCCAGGGCCCCAGCCACTGCACAGTTTCTGGTGGGGTTGTTCCTAGCATGGCTACAGCCAGCCAGGCTTGCATTGTCACTGGAAAGCGAGGGAAGCAGACCAGCACCCAACTGGTTGCAGCTGCATCAGAAGTTGTGTACTGGCTGGGCCTGGCAGGGCTGTTCTGTTTCCCTCGCCTCCAGGTTTGGCAGGAGCCCAGCGGCAGCAAGCAAGGAGCTCCTGTAAGTGTATTTAAGATGCAGGTTTGGTGTTTGCGAATATTTGAAACAGCGAATGCTGAACCCATGAATAGCAACTGTTTCCTGTATAAACCTTGTTGGTAAACCAGTTTGCAATTATCCCTGTCTTTCTTTTTAGTATGCAACCAGTTGTGTGATACTAATTTCATAGATTTCATAGGCATTTGGGCTGGAAGGACCCTGGAGGATCATTGAGTCCAGCCCCCTGCCCCAGGGGCAGGAAAGTCAGCAGGTATCATAGGATCCCAGCAAGATAAGCATCCAAATGTGTCTTGAAGGCGTTCCAAATGGGTGCTTCAACCGCCTCTGGCGGCAGTCTATTCCAAACCTTGAGGGCTCAGACAGTAAAGAAGTTCTTTCTTATGTCCAGCCTGAATCGGTCACAGTGGAGTTTGTGACCGTTCGATCTTGTCATCCCTTGGGGCACTCTGGTGAACAGATGTTCCCCCAGATCCTGATGAGCACCCCTGATAAACTTATAGGTGGCCACCAAACCACCCCTGAGCCTGAGCTTTTCCAGGCTCAAGAGTCCCATGGCGCTCGGCCTCTCATCATAAGGTCTGTTTTCCTGACCTCTGATCATGCGCGTGGCTTTCCTCTGCACCCTCTCAAGCTTCTCCACATCCTTTTTGAATTGTGGAGCCCAAAACTGGATGCAGTACTCCAGCTGCAGCCTCACCAAGGCCGAGTACAACAGGAGAATGATGTCCTGGGATTTGCTTGAGAAGCATCTATGGATGCAAGCCAGCTTTTTGCTCGCTATACTACTATAATCTACTATAACCTTGTGCTTCTTAAAGTTTGCTTTGTCAAATTTCCATCTAGTGTAATTGGTCATTGTAAAACACAAGCTTTCTCCTTTTTTAGGTGGATGAATAAAATGCATTTTGCCTGTAACATTATAGATTGCATGGTTTTGGGGGCAGAGATTTTGTCTTCCTCTATATATGCTCAATGCCTGTGGTATATTTAATGTTAATGTATATTACATAGAAACTCAGGGGAAAGTAGACTTCTCTTCCAGTTGCTAGTGGACTTTAATATCTTTAAATCTCCAAACTACATTGTTTCTGGCTGATCTGAGATATCTAGACTAGTGGATTGGCTGATGTTAGGATACTGGTGATAACTGTTTCCTTTCTGTCTAGGCCTTTCAGTGCACCCATTCCAGTGCACCAAACTTTGACACTTGGGCTGCGCTGAAAGAGAGAACCTACTTTAGGGAGATGAGCACTTTGAGTGCAAATTGGCTTTCCATGCTTGTGGGAGAACTGGTAATTGTGGTGCTGATCTAGAGCCCTTGGGAGAATCTGCAAGCCAACAGTCATGGTGTGATGGGGCTTTTTATGGGTATTTAGAACAAAGGTAGCCATGAGTGGCACAGGCAGCCTCTGTGTATAGCATGCAGAAGCAGACAAACAGCACAGTGGCAGATAGGCAAGAAACAGCAGAGTAGCAGATTGGGCAAGGGGAAGGGATCAGTGGCACTAAGGGAAGGTGCACGGCTGATTTGTGGCACACCTGCCAAAAAGTTTGGCCGCTACTGATATAGAAAAGCACTGCCACAAATTAAGCTTGCAACTCCTTTCTTTAAAGACCTTCTTTTAAACATGTAAAGCTCTTCTGTTGTCAACAGCGTGGAACTGGGTCTGCGATGTAAAAAGCATACAGGTGTCTGACACTCCAGATGTCAGCGTGGTAAATATTTCTTTTTGGGCATAGAAATGTTTGCCTTGGTATCAAAGTGACTACTTCTTTAATAAGGCCTCCTCTGCACATGCAGGTAAAGGTATGTAGAGGTCTAACTTCATAGCTGGTTGGAGCTTTTTATAATGTGATGGCTACTTTGCATGTGTAGCTGGTCTGAAGGTAATTGTGCAATGTGTAGAGGAGGCCTAAGTGAGATCAGGGTTATGTACCATTGTCCAGCCTAGAGGTATCAAATCTAGCTGGATCTAGCTCGCAAAGCTGTATTGTCTGACCTGTGGAGTTCTTGGAGGGGATGGGAATTCAAGAGTGGAGTGAGCAGGCAGCGGAGAACTGGCAGTGAGAACCCCCTTGGGGATGTGAGTTGGTGGCAGGGGACAAGAGACGGCTACATTAACCTCAGTTGCTGCCACTGCTACTCTCCCCGCCTCCATGTCCAGATGCATCCCATAAGAAAGAGTGAGTTTGACACTTCTGGTCTATGCAAGATACCAGTTTACACTCTTTAATCATAGTGTGTATACTTCCTTTATAAAAAGTGGTCTCTTTGTGACTGATCTTCACATATGGTAAAAGAATAATTTGTAGGGGATACAATGGGCAAGTTATATTTAGGACTAGTGTTTGGAAGAGGTTTATATCTAAGGCTAGAGACCTTTTTATAAAGTATTTCATCACAGAAACTGATCAAATAATAAGTTACTATATTTATGAGATATGGAAACTTTTTAAAAATCTTGATTATTTAAACAGGAGGTTGTTCTGCATACTCTCATTTTTACTCTTTACACTCTTAACTGGAAACAACAATGTCAGGGGACTGCCAGTGCTGCTAAATCAGCTACAAAGGGGAGTGAAGGAAGACTCCCAAACTCCATATGACTTGGGAGGTGAAAGGGCAACTTGCTTGGGGGACTTACACTTGGAGGACTTGTTTCAAGGCCATAAGCTGCCTTTTAGCAACTGGGTAACCCCCTGCTTTAATGATTTTTATGATTAAATTTCACAAAACAAAAGAATTTTAGATAACATGCCTGACCCCATCAATGCTTGTCTTTTTACAACCAGTTTCCTGTAATATTCCTTTATCTGTATTAACCCTTAAGATAGTGTTTGATTGGAAGTGAGAGCTGCTCTTTCTAGAGTCCATGAGTAACAGAGTGACTTGCAGACTTTGTTGCTAAATATTTAACTAATGGAAATATTAAGTCAACAGTACTGAAATTCAGCTTGCAGTTGAACACCAGGAACAAAACAATGGCAGTTATGTCAACAGGACTAAATAAAGTCTTTTGGACAAGAAAATACTCGATGGTAGGTGGTGGGGAGACTTTCCAAACATCTGTTCATAATTTTTACCTGCTTAAGGTAATGGTAATGCACAACATGCACATTTAAAATAACAAATGTGTTACCTTGTGATTAAGGCCAAATATAATACTTCAGGTTCAGGAACAGGCTTAGACTTCGACCACTAGCATAGTAAGGAATGATTATCTGCTTACAGGCTTTGCATGTTGCTGCAGCACAAAGGAATAGTAATTACAAACTAGCCAAAGTCTTATTCAAGGTATTGATCGTTCTTGGTTTCTTTAATCTTTTATGCAAACAGGTTTGATCAGAAGTGAAAAAGAAATGGCTGGAAAATGGCGGTGATTAAAAACCTAAGACAAAAAGGTCCATAAAAACCTGTATCTAAATAAATTATCCACATGGAAAGCACACCTACCATAATTTTATGTTGAGAATCGTAAAGAGGATTTTGCAGACATTTATTTCCTGTTACAGAGTTTAATTATTTCTTCTCCTTTATCTGCCCCAGGAACTCATTATACAATGACAAATGGAGGAAGCATTAACAGTTCAACGCATTTATTGGACCTCTTGGATGAACCCATACCTGGTGTTGGAACATACGATGACTTCCATACTATTGACTGGGTGCGGGAGAAGTGCAAAGACAGAGAAAGGCACAGACGGGTGCGTGAGATCAGTAACAATAATTGGAAGTTATTTTTTGTTGTGTATCGCACTAGGGTCTGATCCAGCCACAACTTTTAAATATGGGCATAGATCTAAAATAGTCACATTGCCCTCAGTAGCACTACTCACATTATTAGAGCTACCACCATGCTTACATGCACTGCAAGATTGGGGTCTCAATTAATGAGGTAGTATATTTTTCTGAAAGTGCAAATAAGGCTTTGTGTACCCAGAAAAGTTGTGTCCCTTTTTATTGTATTGGTATGTTTAAAGCTACCCTCAGTGTAGATGCACTTGTACATATTAAAGAGTTTATACTGACATAATTGTTTCTATATGGGAATAAGGCATTTTTATACTGGTGTAATTGCATCAATACTAGGTTGTAGTACTGGTTTACCTATTTAGGTAATAAAATTACATGCTCAACTGAAATAGATAAACCAGTGCAAACACTGTGTGCAGATCAGGCCTAAGAAATTGCTTTCCTTACTTTCCTTTATGAAAACACTTCCAAATCCTGAAATGTTCTTTTTTCTTTCCATACTGGTCTTTTCTAAAAATCTTCAAACTTCAGGACTCATTCAGGAAGGCACATGCAGAGCTTCTTAATCAGTGGGACTTACATGCTTTACAGGCCCATTACTCACTAATATACCAACTATTTGGGAGATCACTGTCAGGTTTTGGAATACCCACATTAAATTTACCTGTACAGGGAAAACAATTTGACAAGGTCAATTTATCGTTTTGTTTTGTTTTTTTCCCTGTTTTCTCATTATATTTTCCTGAACTATTTTAACTTACATAAAATGGTAGGTAGTTTAAAAATGAAAGGTAACTAAATTGAAAACTTCCTGGTACTAAACTAGTTGCCAGCAGGTCTCATGCAAGAAATTTTCTCCAAGTACAATGCCATGTAATTTGCTGCATCACTGTTATTTGTTTACCTTCTGCAAAAGCACAAATATCTGCTATTGTTGGCAGCAAAATACAAGGCCTTGTAGAGTGATCTGAGCTGCTCTGGCAAATCCTGCATTGTTTCAAAAAACTCTAATCCCAATCGTAACTGTTCTAGCCAGTGCTTCTCTCAGGTGCACAGATTTGTCTGCAGTAGTTCTGAGAACACGTACTCTGATTATATAGAGCTCATATGTTGCTTTTTGCCACCTTTGCCTTTAAATACTTTCTTCGCTAATTTGATGGCAAATAAGCAGTCGTTAATACAGCTTCCCAGAAATGGTGCAAATATACTGGCTAGCCTTAGTTTGTGGCTGTCACAGGATGGAATGCCAGAGCTGCCCAAATGCAGGCTGCATGGCTGCAAGTGATTTGGCCTAGAAAGAAATGAATATCGCTCAAAACTAGCAATGGTTTGTTTAGTGTACATTAGATTTGAGTGCATTATAGAAGTCTGTGTAGCTCAGAATTATTAGTCTTAGAAGAAGGAAAAAGGATACTGACCAGTCTGTAGAGATTTTTAAAAGATGCTTTGAAAATGTAATATATGTCTATAAACGATAAACATAAAGTATATTTACTTCATTTTAAAAGAACATTGCCAGTTTGAAATTTAATGATTGTGAAAAAAAGAGGGTGGGGGAGAGAGTAAAAAGAGTTTTACAGATTATCCATGTTTCTAAATCCCCTTTCCCATTTTTGTGTTATATTTTCTGTTTGTTACATATCTTTTCTTTCCTTTTGAATATAAGAGATCCTACAAGAACAGGAATTTTCCAAACAGGAAGAACAAGAAAAATAGTTTTGAAATCAAATTAAGTATGCATGAAATGCACTTAGACATACAAAGTAAATAAGCCCCCAAAACGGAGAGAATATTTTCAGTGGTAGTGGTTGTAAGCATCATTTGTAACAGTGGGAGGTAAAAATATCAGGCAGAAAAAAGAAATATATGGGTACTTGCAATCAAATTCACCAAAAATTAAATGTCCTTGAATTTAGTGGAATAATTTACTTCTAGCTTGGCTCTGTTAATCCATATTTATTCCTTGTTTCTAAAAATAATTTTCTGGTAACTTATTTCCGGTTTAACATATTATAAATTCACTTTCATTTTACAATAATTTATTCTAATAAAATGGACTATCATGTACATTGTACATTTTCTCTAAAGTTTATCCTCTGTTGTGCTTTGAATTATACAGATTCTTCTGTTCCTGCTTTTATTATCTTATACCTGAATTACCAGGTTGATCAAATATGTGTATGTAAATAATTAGAGAGGGAAAGTGCTTCTTAGTTTAAGGATGAGGATATCTGTGAGCTGCTTTCATCACAAGTCTGTAAATCATATCTTTAAGGTACTAATGGTCCAGTTCATAACACAAGACGATCCATTTCTATTTGCAGATTAACAGCAAGAAGAAAGAATCGGCCTGGGAGATGACAAAAAGTTTATGTGATGCCTGGTCAGGATGGCTAGTAGTTACACTAACTGGTTTGGCATCAGGTAAAGACAAATCAAAGGATCTCTTCTAGTGCTTACAATAGTGCACAACTACTTCTCTTTTCTAATTTTTTCTGATCTTTCAAACTTTCTACAGAGTGTGGGTTTTTGTCCTTATATTAAAACATGTATTGTTTTGTTCTTGTATCTGCCCAGTATTATAAATGTATGAATGGGGAGATGTTTATGTATAATACCAGAATAGGATCAAGATAAAAGCATAATCTCATTTGAAGTAGTAGTCAAGTAACTAATGTAGTTCTTGAAAAAGATTCCAGAGTTTGAAGATTAGAGACTGTTTCTATCCATGAAATAGGTGACCTCCTTGCCCCACTGAAATCAATGAGAGCCTTAGCTGGTAAGTAAACCTCCTCACACTGAACAAACTACAAACATAGTTGAATTTTGGCCTGGCACAATAACTTTCAGGCCTGAGGTGGATAGTCATTCTCCTAATTAATTCGTTTATAGCTCCTTCCATCTGAGACGATGAGGAAGAGCATCGTTATTGATTGTAAGGATGATTCTTCTGCTGTGGATTTCCCTCTCCTGCTAGGAATGTATAGAGTCTTCTTTATTCCAACCACATTTATTGATGTTTATGTTGATAGACTTTGATTACTTGTATTGAGTGAAATCTGGGCCTACTGAATAATCAGGTCATTGGGAACAGTGCTGTTGACTTCATTGGACCCAGGAATTCCCAGGGAAAGCCAGCAAATGTTACTAGCTGCTCTTAGTTCAATAAAAGATATGACCCTAAAAATTCCTTACCTCTTGCATAATTCCTGGACCATCACAGCTACAACAACAATCACTCTAACGCTACTACTATTATTCTCCTAGCAGCTTTACCAATATAAGTCCATTGTCTGTCTGTGGAGATGCATTCAATAAATCACTTTATTGAAAGTGTTTGTAATCAGTTTTGTTGCTATTAATGACTAACAAAAATCTGTTTTGTATCACTCTCCTCGGGTTTGCCCAAATGCAGGGGACCAGACTTAGTGACCTAGAAGGCCTGTGCCACTCTTAGGTTACTATGGAAAACTGTTTTAAACCATAAACTGGTGTGAGCATGAGCAATTTCCTACTAAACTGGTAACAGGAAAACCATGCTTTTGTAAAACTGCCATTTAGTCTCCCTTTCTAACCTGTTTCCTTGAGTTAGGTAATAATGGCTTATCAAAAACTTGTCTTGACTGCAATTTTTGACCTACCTTCACATCACAGAAGTCAGTCTTTAAGGGGCTGAGCTTGAGAAGTGCTGAGCATCTGTACTTCTCATTAACTTCAGTGTGAATTCTGGAGACTCAGAGCATCACAAGATCAGCTCATGTGTATGGGTTATCTCAGGCAGCATGTTTGAAATTCATTTGATGTATCATTTGTGCTTCACTAATATTTTTGGTAGTGTGAGAATGAATTATGCTATTAAATTTTATGTTTGGTCTTTTATGTTGAATATACAGTATTTGCTGACATATCACCAGGGATCTTGGTTTTCTGTTTAAAAATCACAAAACAAAAAAAGAGGACCCGGGGGAAGGGCAGCAGGGCAGGGAGCCTGAGCCCATGGCATGGCAGCTTGCACCCAGCCCACCCACAGATCTGGGGGGCCCAGGAGTGGGCACAGCAGCTGGGAGACAGCCCCGCCACCTGTGGCCCTGTCCTGCTCCCCACTTGGGCTCTACATCACATTCTGGCCCTGGGGCCCAAGACCCATGCACCTCCCAGCTGGGCAGCAGCCCCAGCCTGAGCCCCAGCCCTGCCCAAGGCCCTCCCTTCCTATGGGGGCCTCAATCCCCACCCCCACCAGATTTACCTGCAGGAGCTGCTCTTCAAGTGTGTGTGCATGTGCATATGCACATGGCACCCCCTGCCTATCTGCCCTCCTCCCACTCCCCCAGCCACTTGCAGGCTGGAACTCTGCCAACCTGCAGAGAGCTCTTTGCAGAAGTGGAAAATCTGCATGTTTATCCATTAATGAGAAATCCAAGTTTTTTTCGGTTAAAAGGGAAAATCCTCATATTTTTCCCCATTTTTCCATGGGGAACAGAAAACCCAGATTCCTGCATATCACACACACCTTTCCCTCAAAACTTAGCCTTCCAAAATTGTTTTTTTCTTAAGTAGGGAAGCTGATTTTTGTGTCCCAGAATAGCAGTTGTAGTATTTCTGTTCAAGCATCTGATGGGATCAGTTCACTTCCTGGCTTATTTACGTTAACGTTTATGTGATTTCCTGCTACTTGATCTTCTGTCAACAGGTATTAACAGCCAACTGTCCTTTTTTAATGGTTTCAATGTTCCACTAACCAAGCCATCCTTTCTTCCGCAGTTGTGCTAAAGAGTTTACAGTGTAGCTACTCCTGATCACTCTCCTATTTCACAATCTTCTTATTTCACAGACTTCTTATTTTTAGCTCTTTTCAAAATGCTTGATCTGCCCATGGAATCCAGTCTTCGGGAGCAGCTGAAGTTTCAGCTTTTGCCTGAGCTGTCAAGAGCTGTTGACAGTTCAGCTGTGAAAGGGTTAAAGATGTAGCTTTTGCCTGGTAGGAAAAGGGAGGGTGAGTAAACTAAAGAGCAGGATCTGCCCTTACTCAATGTGGCCATAAATCTGGGGAAAAAAATGTTTTTATCCATTCTGCCTTCCCAAAAACAAGGTGTGCGCCTTACTTGGGTGTTTGTGGTACGTAAGAAAATACAATAATAATTTCAGTGAATCATTTGAGTTACGTTTACATGTCAGCTATATCCTCTGTGTCTTTTTATGTATTTACTTTTTTGGACTGTTGAAAAACAGTATCTTAAATTATCATAGCTGATTTAACTAAGAAATTCTGTAATTTATTTGATACAGAATTTTAATGAAAAGACCTAGATCAGTTTAGTCCCTTGCAAACTGATTTCCATGGAGGGACTCAAATAGTATTTTACAGAAAATATTTGAAATATCCTCTTTACTTGTGCCTTTTCCTTTAGGTTTGTTTTTATGTATCAGTTAACTGCTGTTTTATGTCTGTTATATCAACAGATGTCAGTTTTTCTTGACTTTTTTAATTTCAGAAATCTAACACAACTGTTTGTACAACAGGGGCATTGGCTGGGTTAATAGATATTGCTGCTGATTGGATGACTGACTTAAAGGAAGGCATTTGCCTTAATGACTTGTGGTATAACCATGAGCAGTGTTGTTGGAGATCGGATGAGAACACGTTTGAAGAGAGAGACAAATGTCCAAAATGGAAAACATGGGCAGAACTAATAATTGGCCAAGCAGATGTAAGTAAAACCCTAGTGAAGAAAGGGCTGTAGCTCAGGATCAAGGAGTTGAACTAGGAACTTGAACATGTAGGTTGTATTATTAGTTGTCGGTGTTCTTTGGCTCTTATTTTGCTTGCCAAACCTGAATATGTTGTAATGGAGCATATACTGGCATCAAAGTGTATTTGCATTTACACTATTGAGGACAGCCATGCTAGTCAAGCTATGTCAACAAAACCTTCCCCTTGCGCTTTATAGTTTGATCGTCCAAGCTTTTATCAAAGCTATTTTTTGGTGAGGCTCAGTGGTAGCACAGAGATCTTCTTTATGGGCGGCTTTCAGCGTGAGGGTATTAATCTCTCTCTTTCGATTTTTCAGTCTCTAAAATTGGAAGCCGTAATAATTCATTAATACTTATGAGCTGCTCAGATGCTGCACTAATCAGCACAATAGAAATGCCTATAAATAAGTAAAGGGCTCATCTTCTAAAAGAGAACATGGCAATTTGTGTTCCTGATTGTGGTTATGTGTAAAAGTCCCCCAAAAACCAAGACTTGTTTTGTAATTAATAAAATTCTGAGTTGGTTTTGTTCATTATTTTTTAGCAGTATGCAGTTTAGGGAAAAAGAATGATGCCAGTAGATTTTACTAGCCTAAAGTTGCAAAAATTAACTGTGTTATCTATGACTCATTGATTTAATTGTTTCACTCTTGGTTTGATTGGTCTGATTTTGATATAGATCAAATAGATATTAGTCAAAACTTTTCTATACAATTTAGTCTAATGACTTTAACTTTTCAGACAAAGCTAATATTTGTTCATGGTAGTAATATTTGTTTTCATTAGACTGTATATGTAATTGTTTTTACCATAAGAGTCCTTCATGATTACTTTTGTTCAATGCATTTTGTTTACATATTAATGGAATTATATTGTGGGGTTTTTCTGCTTGTGTTTTTAGGGTCCAGGTTCATACATAATGAACTACATAATGTACATTTTCTGGGCTTTGAGCTTTGCTTTTCTAGCAGTTTCTTTTGTGAAGGTGTTTGCTCCTTATGCCTGTGGCTCTGGGATACCAGAGGTAGGATATGAAGAATTTCTATCTTTATGAATGTTTAATGCTAAGAAATGACTTGCTTCTGTTTGTACAAAAAATTCACCTACTATAATAAAGACATACTAAACCAATTCCAGCCACTGGTCAGTGATTCTAACTTAACTGAAACTAGATTCTAACTTAACTAAAAATAGATATCATTTAAGTTCCTCAAAAGAATGTGTGCTGTATACGCTTTACATGTGACTGATACTTTACCATAAAAAGTG